TCCAGCCTGGGTCCGAGTCCAGCCTGGGTCCGAGTCCAGCGTGGGTCCGAGTCCAGCCTGGGTCCGAGTCCAGCGTGGGTCGGAGTCCAGCCTGGGTCCGAGTTCAGCGTGGGTCCGAGTTCAGCCTGGGTCCGAGTTCAGCGTGGGTCCGAGTCCAGCCTGGGTCGGAGTCCAGCGTGGGTCCGAGTCCAGCCTGGGTCCGAGTCCAGCGTGGGTCGGAGTCCAGCGTGGGTCGGAGTCCAGCGTGGGTCGGAGTCCAGCGTGGGTCGGAGTCCAGCGTGGGTCGGAGTCCAGCGTGGGTCCGAGTCCAGCCTGGGTCCGAGTCCAGCGTGGGTCGGAGTCCAGCCTGGGTCCGAGTCCAGCGTGGGTCCGAGTCCAGCCTGGGTCCGAGTTCAGCGTGGGTCCGAGTCCAGCCTGGGTCCGAGTTCAGCGTGGGTCCGAGTTCAGCCTGGGTCCGAGTCCAGCCTGGGTCCGAGTTCAGCCTGGGTCCGAGTCCAGCGTGGGTCCGAGTCCAGCGTGGGTCCGAGGTTGAGCGCCGACTCGATCAGACCCTTGATGATCAGCTTGGCCATGTTCATTAAGTTGAGCCTTTCAATGGCAATCGGGTCTTTGGGATCTAAAATGGAGAAAGAAAATGATTAAAACGTTGGTCTTTAATGACATCATTCACAATATAAATGCAAGAAGTGTGAAGATTTGTTTTTTCTGTGTGTTTATTCAGCTTTCTGTGTTCAGTTGTGTCTTGGTGTTGTCTGTCTTGTTTCCCCTGATTAACTTTCTTGTGTTTAGTGCTGTTTCATAATTTTTTTTTTGTATTGCTTATGTTGTAAAGCATATAAACTTCCTTGCTGTTGAAATACAAATAAACTTGACGTGACTTTGCTCCAGCAAAGAAAGACTCCAAGCATGGCCTGAGGGAGACAAACACCCACAACATTGTTTTTAACAACTGTGGTCAGACAGCTACGTCTCTGATTCATCTGTGTTTGAAGAAAAAGTTCCCGACTTTATGTCTACTGGTGGTAACCCTTAGCTTTGTTTTAAGACTGTTGTGGATCAGGGAGGTCAAGGGTTTACGAGCTTTTTCTTTGTACAATGGTGCAAAAAAGTGTTTGCCCACTTCATGTCTGTCACACTGGTAAGTATAGTCAAAGACAACATAAGTGAACACAAAACACAGTTTTTAAAATGAAGATGTTTACTACATGTCCCTATGTGAAAAAGTGGAAACAAAGCTGATCCTTACCACAGTCATAGATGGAAACAGAAAAAGACCACCAATCGTCAAGAACAACACAACATAACTGACATAGAAATAAATATGAGGAGAAATAACTTTTTGACTCAAAATAATTAAAAATACATTTTGGCAAACTTCATATATATAATTCTGCTAAAATAGTAGAAAAACACAGTGGTCGTAGTGTGATGGTTTGCTACTTCTGGACTTGGAAGATTTATGATAAATAGAAACCATCAAATCTCCTGTGGACCAAAACATACAGCCGTCTGCTGGTGATCTCAAGCTTAAAACCAACTTGGTTTCAAAACATAGCAGCACCGCTATGTGGCTGATGAAAAATAAAATGAAGACTTTGGAGTGGTCTAATAAAATCCTAATGCAATTTTGTGCCATAACCTTAAAAAGTTTGTCCATGCTTAAAAACCATCCAATGTGGCTGAATTACAATAAATGTGAAAAGATTAATAAATTCATCTGAAGACTGCAAAGTTATTGAAAACACTTGACTGCAGGCTGATCTAACCAGTTTTTACATTTAGATTGAATTCACTTTTTAGCATAGGACCATACAGGTTTGGATTTTTTTTTTCTTTAATGATAAATACCTTAATTTAAAAACAACAGACCAATTTACTTTGATTGATGTTTTGAAACAGTGAAATGTAACATGCATGCTAAAAATAGACATTGAGAAAGGGTCGTCACTCCATTGTATAACGATTATGTTATTGTTATTATTATTATTTTGCTTGATTAAATATAAGAAGAAAAAAATAATGCAATTTTACCAACTCTACTTCTTTTTAAAAGTCATGTGTCTCCTCCTGCTGTACAGTTTAGGTACTACAAGTTTAGCAAAACTAAATAAAATAAAGTAAAATTTAAAAAAGCCCTGGTCTTAATTTTAAGACAAAGGTATTGTCATTGTTATTATGACTGAAACGAACACACATTCAGTATCTAAAAATAACTTATAAAAATCACTTAGGATAACAATAGTGCCGTTTTCGAATCTCGTTAAACTTGCCACTCACAAGATGGCCGACACACTGACGTATTGTCTCTCCTCGAGGCGTCTGCTCGGCCCCGCTAATCTGAAACCTTCCCCGGTTCACACAAGCTCCGAAATATTTCCTCTCACATCCTTATCCTCAAATATAACTCTGGTGCTTCATTTCTTTCCCCAAACCTTATCCCTGGCCAAAAATACTTTAAAATATTAAACAGCTGATCCTCTTTGCGCATGCGCTGTCTCTAAAAGACCTCAAAGTGGTGGCAATAAGCGGAAGAACGGAAAGTCTCGCGAAAATTAGCAGATTTGACCAAAATGCCAACACACAGCTGTTTCCGGGTCAGGAGGAGGTTCTGGAGAACAGGACGGAAGGTGGAGCGATCACCGTGGAGCTTCTCAGAGCACACTGATTGATAGAGCTATCGATTGCTTAGCTAACCGCAGCGGGTGAATGATTCACTGCGAACCGCAGACGGACAGCCCAGCCGCCGGTCACATGAAGCGGGTCTGACCGGAGGCAGAGGATGGCGGAGCGGGGTCAGCCGACGGGAGATCTACCTCCGCAGTCAGCTGCAAAGGTCTCACAAAGTTCTGGGACGAGCGGACAGAACTCCTCGGATGAAAACGGACATGTTGTTGAGAGTCCGGACGACGAGACTCTGTCCCCGACCTCGGTGATTTACTTCAAGGAAGCTCTGAGCTCGTCAAACGTGAAGTTTGGAAAGGCAGCGCCCGTTTCCGCAGCACCGCTACGACAGTATGACTTCAGGATCGAAAGAATCGACTCAAAGCGAAGAAGTGAGTGTTTAAAAACTTTATTAAAGCTTCGGAGTGGGGCTGTCAGTACCACGAGCTCCTCTGTTGTGACCTGCCGTGACCTCACTTCCCTAAACAAACATGCTAACATTGGAACTGAGTCACAGGCGGATAAATCACATCCTCTTTAAGATGATTTAATTACCCTCAAAGATGCTCATTTTCCACTAGCATTTTCAAAAATGTTGGATTCAAATGAAAAAATTAACATATTATTGATGTGGAAATGTTTTGAACCACCGCTTGATTCAATTGTAATCAATTTTGCAGTCAGGGTTGCCAGATCTGACAGTTTCAACGTAAAACCCGCCCAACTCCAAACAGCCGACCCAATTTGCTGCATTTCTGGTTATACTTTATTATATTCCAGAGTTTGGTTTTAGCTAGTTACATTTACATTTTTTTAAAATGTACTTTAGGAGTATTTTTATGCTTGAGTAATTTTATTATGAAATATTGTTACCCTTACTTGAGTATGGTTTTTTGTTTTTTTACCCACCGAATGAAAAACATGTTTTAACCAAAAATTCACCAGACACAGACACCCCTGCAGTTTTTGTTAAAGTTTCATGAGTTTTTTTTGTATTGGTAGAAACTGATTTGGAAAATTGTTCTTCTGCCCGAATTTGTCATTTCATGTTACTGATGTAAATTATTATCATTTTTGTCATTAAAATACCAACATTTCCACTTAACTTTATATTTTTATAAGTCTGATGATGTAATTTTTAAATATTAAATGATTGGTAATTAATCTGTTACTCAGTGGTTGAGTAGATTTTTTTTAATAAATATTTTTTTATTCTTACTTGAGTAATTTCTTGGACGGCTACTTTTTCTTGGACGGCTACTTTTTACTTACTCGAGTAAGAATGCGTTGAATTAGTGCAACTTCAACTAGAGTAAAGGTTTTGGGTACTCTACTCACCTGTGTTGTATTCTGACCAGAACCAGGTCCAATTGACTCTGCAAAGGTCTTGACTCTTTGAACACAATGAGTTTCCTGTGTCTCATCAGATCATTTTAGCAACAAACATTAACACCCAGTGGGCCAAGAGAAGCAGTTTTGTCGTCTGTTGCTGTTGTTTGCAGATGTTGCTTGTACATCAGATTTATAAGTGTAGTAGAAATACAAAGGTTATGGGCAGAACCATTATTAGAGTTAAAATTTTCAACATGTCAAAATCGATTTAATTAGTCCATCAAGATTAAAGCGTTAAAGTCTTGTCCCTTCTCAAGATTCATTTTGTCAGACATCTGATCTCAGAAGCAGACTTTTGGGGGTCGGGATCATTTTGTTTTGATTGATTGAAAACTTTTTTGGACCAAAGCCTAAAGAAGCTCAAAACTGTCTTTCTATTCCAGAAGATTTTTGAATTAATCTAAAAATGTCAGATTTTCTTTCTAACAAATATGTCTGAATTTTTGATTTTTTTTCTAGTAAATTCCAAAATTCAAAATTTTTATTATGTTTTTTTTCTAGAAAGTTTCTGAAATCAATCTCTAAATTTGTGAGTTTTTTTCAGCAACATTTGAAGCTCAAAAAACGTTTTTCTTGTTTAGAAGATTTCTGAGATGAATCTCAAAATTGTTGAATGTTTGTAGTAAATATCTGATTTCAATTTGAGCAATTTTCAACTTTTTTAAACAAAATTTCTGAGATTAATTTAAAATATTCTCAAAATTCTTTGACTTTTCAAGGTCAAATAATTTAAAGTTTGTTTTTTGTTTTAGAAATTTCTGCAATAAATCTCAAAATTTCTGATTTTGTTCAAGTATTTTTTTTTTTTTACTTTTCAAGCACAATTTCCATTTTTTTTTCTAGAAAACTTTTCAATCGATTAATTTCAGATTTGTTGTTTTTTTTTTTGGGGGGGGGGGGCTGATATCTACTCTTATTTTTCCCATCTGCAGACGCCTCAATTCGCTGTCATACGTCATAAAACATGTATTGATCATCGGTTCTGAAGCGTCATTCCTTGTGGACCAATGAGCTGCAGCCGGTTCTGTGATGGCGTTGCCATGACGACAGGCGGCCGTTATTGCCCAGCTGAACCATTAGCATTGCTTTGATACTCCAGAGACCCCCGTCTGCCCTGTTCTCCTCTCTTTCTGTACGCATGCGCCATCTGCTCACATGACGCGCGTGTCGCCGTGCCCAGCACCGCTGTCGGCCATCTTGGTCGACACCCACCCGGTGGAGTCACTGCGGTGCACAGGCGGCCCAATCAGAGGCGGCCGGTGCTGAGCTGACTGGAAGAGGGGCTGGGATGATTTTTTTTGTTTTGTTTTTTTTGTAATGGTGTGTGTTTCTTTCACAACACTGCGCTCTGTTGCATTTTAAACGACCGGTCTGGGAGAATAGTAGGCTGAGGAGGAAGAGCGGAGGCCCTGGCAGCTTATTTCATCCATTTGTATGGAAGAGAAGGGGAGGATGCAGAGCTAAAGAGGAAGAGGAGCAGCTCTGACACCTGCCTCTTCATCGCCTCCTCTCTTTCTCTCGGTCGTCATCCTCTCTGGATCCAAGGCCATTTTCCTTCCTGCCGTGATTTTTGGCCCCGCGGACCAGGCTGAGTCATCATGTCGGACCTGACGCCCCAGAGCGAGACCCCGACCCCCACCACAGACAAGATCACCCAGGCCGCGCGGGAGACCATCTATCTCTGCAACTTTCGCGTTTCCGTGGACGGCGAGTGGCTCTGCCTGCGCGAGCTCAACGACATCTCGCTCACGCCGGACCCCGAGCTGGACCACGAAGGTAACGAGGCTCCTGCTGCTTGTCCAGCATCCCCCCGCCAGGGCGTGGCGTTTCCACAAAGAGCGGACACGCTGCGTGTTTGCGCTGTGTCATCCTGGGCTTCCTGAGCGTTACACAGCAGGATGACGCCACCAGGAAGTGCTGCCATCCTTATCCAGAATAAAAACAAAGCAGGACCAACTTCCTCTGCGGAGACCATTTTAAATGCAGACCTTTTGCCAAAACATGTCATAAATACCAAGTTATTACTTTATTAAAATAATGCACTACGTCATATTTTGACAAAAGTGATTTTTGTTTAGGTTTTTTGCTTAAATCATCAATCATCTTTTGACAGTAAACAAGGGGTGATTTTTAAAAAAATCTTCCATTTAGATTTCTCTTTGCAAAAATCACTTGGGGGAAAAAATGACTTGCGCCATTATTTTTGGAAGCTGATAAAATACAAAACAGCTAAATAATTTAGAGCTAAAATGATTAATCGTGATTAATCAAAAACATCTGTTTATACATATGTTCTACACAGAACTCACGTGTCAGATGTAGTTTCACCTCATTCAAATTCTGTAATGAAATCGCACCGTTTGCTAAACAATTATTAATCAATTAATCAAAACTAATCAGCAGACCAGCCCTGCAATGTATTGATAATAAGTGAAGCAGAAACGACTGAGCTTTCCTCATGTTGCTTCAGCTGAATCCTTTGCTACCAATGATCAAACATTCCCCAGAGTAATGATATTATTGCATTTTAGGTAATAAAATGTTTATCTTATTTTAAAAATGGAATGTAAAATGTTTACTTGCATCTTGTAATGTATTTCTAATGTTGTGTAAAAAGACTTAAGAGGTTAAATGAAAAATCTGCAGAATGTGGGATTTTTTTATTTGCTTAATCAATTAATCATCAGAATAATTGATTAATTGAATACTAAATATAACTATTTCACTTGATTAGATCAAATACCCCATAGCTCAGCTTATTCTTCAACAGATTCTTACAGTACTTTGATTTATCAATCAGGTTTTACTGATCAATACCAATTTTTATGACATGACAATAAAAAGTGCCTCAACAAACATGCTGATTAATCCATTCATGGTGCATTTAATGGCAAATAAAAACCAGATTTATCAGTATTTGATCTACCAATCAAGGGAAAATTAGTCAGTTTCAATCATTAGTTGATTTATTGGTGGAGCAACACCAATAATTGATGCTTTTGCCTTTAATGGAGATTGTGCAGTGCATTTTAAGCACAGCTGTTAACATTGGTGTTATAACTCAACCTGAACGACCAGATCTGTGTCACCTGATTTTAAAGATGTGACCGTAACACAGAATGAGCAGATCGTCTCATTTTTCTGTAAAACCACCAATAAATTCGATTAACTGAACTTTGCCATGCAGAAACGGGCAGTTCAGATTCAACACAGCTACACTTTAGATTTATTTATGAAACTTTTATACACTCATAGCCCAGCAGAGATAATGTGAACAAATTATAGCAGTGTGCATAATTTATTGGTTCTTAGTCAGGGCCGGGACTTAACACAATTGATCCCATTGGAACCTTTGCATGTTTCTGGTACATCCATATATTTGACGCACAAGCAACATCTGTAAACAGCAATGGACAAATTTCTTGCATTTCTTTTGTGGTAATTGCTTTTTTCCCCTGAATTCTTGTTTCTAAACTGCTTTATTAATTGAGACAGATTAAATCTGGACTTAAACCACTTGCTTCTCCTATATCCTGGATGTTATTATCAGTGCATAAAAGTATCTGTTTAAGTCTGTCCTTTCATGATTTAGTCCAAAGTGAATGTAAGGATGTAAACAGTCTATCAATCTTTAATAACAAACAGTTGTGACATGACTGAACAACAATGAACAGCACTACAAGTAATTTACTGTAAAGTGCTGATATGAATAATTAATTCAAAAAGGGTCAAACTAGATGGAACAACACTGAGAAAAACAAATGAAACACAATAAAGTTACTTTAAAACAGAAATGTATGTTATCAAATTGAAAAGAGAGTTCCAGTTTTCTCAGAATTCTGACTAAATTTTCATGTTTTTCTTTGAATTCTCACTTTTTTTCTCAATTCTGACATATTTTCTCAGATTTCAGACTAATCCCAGAATTCTATTTTCTCTGAATTCTGACGTTAATCTTAGAATTCTGACGTTAATCTCAGAATTCTAACGTTAATCTCAGAATTCTGACGTTAATTAGAATTCTGAGATTATTCGTAACGTAAATTCTGAATGTTTTTCTCAGAATTCAAGTTTTTTTCCTAAAAATTCTGAACTTTTCGTCTCAGAATTCTGACTTTTCTTTCTCAATTCTGCCTTTTATTTTTGCTTTCCCCATTTTAGATCCCAAAGACCCGATTGCCATTGAAAGGCTCAACTTGATGAACATGGCCAAGCTGAGCATCAAGGGTCTGATCGAGTCGGCGCTCAACCTCGGACGTACGCTGGACTCCGACTACGCGCCGCTCCAGCAGTTCTTTGTCGTCATGGAGCACTGCCTTAAACACGGACTAAAAAGTAGGAGTTGTCGTCATAACCATGTAAAGGGAAGCTAAAGGCTGAATGAACTGACGCTGTGGGTCGGTCACCAGGTAAGAAGACGTTCCTGGGGCAGAACAAGTCGTTCTGGGGGCCGCTGGAGCTGGTGGAGAAGCTGACCCCCGAGGCCGGAGAGATCACTGCCAGCGTGAAAGACCTGCCTGGGTTAAGGTGAGTCTGTTTGCTGGTTCCAGTCAGACGCTGACGATCAGCCGATGAACCGAGGCGTGAAACCCATTGTCTGTGTGTCCGACCCCAGAACTCCGCTGGGAAGAGGCCGGGCCTGGCTGCGCCTGGCTCTGATGCAGAAGAAGCTCTCAGACTACATGAAGACCATCATCAACAGGAAGGACCTGCTCAGGTGGGGTTGTGTTGTCACATCCTGCAGCCAGCTGTCAGGAAATGGATCCTTCAGTCAAGCTTTGTTTTCCACTCGGAGCAGTCTGTGGGCTTGTGATGGTTTTAGGTCGTCTGGATTGGTTTTCCTATAAGATTTTGTTTTTCTCATTTTAAGACCTTCGCACCTTTTTTTACTTTAATCTCAAACTAATCCCAGAATTCTGACTCTTTTTTTTATCATAAATCAGACTCATCTCAGAAATGTAACTTTTTTTCTTTATGCTTTTTTAAAATCTTGATGATTCAACTTTTTTTCCTCAAAGTACAAACTTTTGGCAGAATATTTTTTTCTCAGAATGAGAATTGTTTAAATTATTTGTTCCAAACTCAAATCTACCAACCAAATTAGGGAAACATTTTGTGTGTATAAAGTGCATCTTTACAAATCAGACAACAAAAGAAGAAGCTATTATGTGAACATTTTCATATATTAATTACATAATTGACACACCTGAAAATCTTTGGTTATTTACTTGGATTTATTTGATATAAATTGACACAGAATCTATATTTCTACTTTTTTTTTGTCCCTGATCTTTTATTTGAAGACTTGATGACAGTAGTTTTGTTTTTTGTTCTCTGGATATTTCTCCTTCATGTTTAGGCAATTTCTTACAGTGTTTGCATGAGAAATATCTTTTTCTAAAATCGCTTCTTGTTTGTGCCTTGCAGTGAGTTTTATGAGCCAAACGCCCTGATGATGGAGGAGGAGGGCGCCGTCATCGCCGGGCTGCTCGTCGGCCTGAACGTCATCGACGCCAATCTGTGCATGAAGGGGGAGGACTTGGACTCGCAGGTCGATCAGCTTCCGCTTCACCTTACAGCTGCTAAAACTCATAAAAGATTAGATTAGAATGACAGAAACCAAACCTGAGAAACCAAAATTACTTTATTTTACGTACAGCGCTGTCTGTTTTCAGTTCTTCACATTGAAATGTCCTACAGTGAAACTTTAGTAACTCAAACCGCGAAAGAATTTGATGTCACTTTTCTAATCTGACACCCTGTCGACTTGGAGGAACGCAGTTTCACTTCAGATTTCTAAAGAAATATTTTAAAACAGTGAAGAGAAACCTCTCGGAGCACAAACCTCTTTCTAATTTGAGGCTGCTCCAGTATTTAATAAACTTTCACACTTCCCTATTTCGCCCTGTTCCTTATTTTGCTACGAGTGTAGCGGCTCAACACCCAGGGCGCCACGACAGCAGGGTTTCTGCAGCTTACACACGTCCAGTGAATGTGTGGCTGGTTTCGTTGTGATATAGGCTCCTTGGTCTAGTTGGTCTAGTTTCTAGTGCAAATATCTTAATACACTTAAAATGAGACAAAACTAATTCAAAGGTAGTTTTTGCTAGTTTTAAGTAAACAATTCCTTAATGTTCATGAAAACGTTATTGTTCCATGATCAGATAATTTCACTTATGAATTGTCTGTTTATAAGGGAAGTAATCTGTCAACTGAATTAATAGTTTTTCATCAACATTAGGGAATTATCGAATTAAAACAAGCTCCTATATCTTGCTGAAATGTTCCTTATGAGTTAGTTTCGTCTAAGATTTTATGTTTTTTGAAGCATAATGTGTGAAATAACTTTTAAAGGTTCCTCTTTCTAAAGAATTGGGACGGCATTCAGTAATTTCCTGGACTGACCAGTTTAATATTTAAAGTTTATATTATTTAAAGAACAGTTGGAGATCTATGACTCCTTTATTATACACAAAAAAATTAGATAACACTTTATTTGACGGTTTGTGAATAAGACTGTCGTGACCCAGTAATAAACATGACTTAACACCTGTCATGAACATGAGTCAGTCTTCATGAATATTTATGACTGTTGTCGTAAAGTGTCTTATTCACAACCCGTCGAAGTGTTACCAAAAATGATTTTCAGTGCTTTTTTCCAGGCTTGGGGCTTTTATGTGTTAATATTGACTAAATTTATAGATTTTAGCTTGTTAAATTATAATTTTTTCCTTTTTTTTTTTGCATACAAATGTCTTGAGGCGGAACCTTTGTATTTGCCTGTTTCTGGTACGCCCATAAATCTGACGACGCAGCTGTTTCTACTCCAGCTGTTCCAGTTTAAATTTTTTATTTCAAAAATGTAAAGTCATAATGTTGCTTTTCCAGTCTAATTTAATTTTATTTATGAAGCACTTTTAAAAATATGCAGAAGATCAAAGTGCAATACAGAAAGAAAACATTGAAAAGAATAAAAGATAGAAAAAAAAAAACATTGAGGCTGCCAATATAACAAGTAACCTTTGAAACAGGAGAGAAACTGTTGTTAGGATGTGTTCTTTGCTTTTTTTGACCTTGGAAACTGACCTTTCTGACCTTTCTTTCTTTTTGCGTCACACGTCCAGGTCGGCGTCATCGACTTCTCCATGTACCTGAAAGATGGAGGACACAGCAGCAAGAGTGCAGAGGGGTGAGCTCATTGAATATTGTGTATTATCTGTTGATATTGATCATATGTCCATCATGATAAATATTGTTATTGATTTATGAGCCTTTCAATCTGAAGTGAAATTTATTGTTTTTTCCACACAAAACCGGGGTTCTGATCTGAGCTTAATAACAATCAATATCTAACCAGAAGTTACCACCTCTCTTAGCATCTTCACATCAATTGAATCCCTGTTTTTACCTCCTTCCAGTGACGGTCAGATCACTGCGATCCTCGATCAGAAGAATTACGTTGAAGAACTGAACAGACACTTGAGGTTAGCCGGGATAAACTGATCGTTTTGCTCTTTTCCCTATTAGGCTTCACGACTCACACCACTCATGTTTCTGATTGTTTCTGTTTACAGTGCATCGGTAAATAACCTCCAGGCCAAAGTAGACGCTCTGGAGAAGTCCAACACGAAGCTGACGGAAGAGGTGAAAGTTCAGCCTTATTGATTCCCCTGCAGAGTGAAAGAAGAATCTGATTTTTAAGATGTTTTTATTTAACGGTCTGTGTGTCTTTGCAGCTTGCAGTGGCAAACAACAGGATCATCACTTTACAAGAGGATGTGGAGAGAGTAAAGGAAGAGAGCTCATTTCAGCAGGAGTCCAGGAAGGTGAACACATTTTTCTCCTCATAAATAATTATTATTAGTAGCACTGATCCACCAATCAGTCAACCATTCGTCTCTGATTGTTTCTCACCATCATCAGTAAATCAATTCCATAAAAACTGCTCAAACTTTTTCTCAGGTTCAAATAGGAATCAGTGCAATAATGCAAGATCACAAGATTTGGGAAAAATAAATAAATTCCTGTTTTCCCCAGGCGTCGTCAGCAGACGGACAAGTTCTGGGTGAAACCCGGAAGCAGCTGAAGGAGGAAACTCAGCTTCGACTGGTGCGTTTCTTTTGTTTTCAAACTTTGACCCTTTTTGTTGCTGTTAGAACAGTAAAAATATTTCAAATACATCATTTGCCTCTGACATCACACTTCTGTGACGGCCATCTTGGTAGGTATTCTTAACAAATTGCCGTCACAGTTGCTATGGAGTTGTTATGACAACAGTAAACAAACCACAAGCTTAGAACCACCAGACTTGTGGGAACTGTGTATAAAGTTTTTGGGTGAGTCTGGATGTGAAGTTGGAGCCGATCTGCAGGATGTGGAGCGGGAGCTGGAGGTGCAGATTGGGATGAAGCAGGAGATGGAGCTGTCCATGAAGATGCTGGAGAAGGACATCTGTGAGAAGCAGGACGCTCTGGTGGAGCTCCGGCAGCAGCTGGAAGACCTTCGTGCCATCAACCAACAGCTCAGCCACAAGTCACAGGTCAGGCCGCGTCTGGAGAAATCTGTGAATGTTTATTTTTATACAGTTAGAGGAACAGAGGATCAGTCTAGGGGCGTTACAAAACTTTTAAAACTTTTTTGAGATCAGTGTATCTTGATCTCCTTTTGATTTTAGGGCCTCTGTCACTTTAAATCCAAACAAGTTGCTGCTGGCCACACCCCCCGACTCAATGTTTACACTCATTAAAGAAAAAAAACGGCTGATTAGCGATTATACAACCATACATCTCAGCTTGTTCAATACTCTGTTCACTGGCAGAGTATTTCACTTATAACAAGACATTTTTACCATCTTTTAAGTGAAATAATCCACCAATTGAACTCAAACTTTTTCACCAATATTAAGGAAATAGACTTAAAAATATTTTCTATATGTTGCTGTAAAGTTACTTGTAAGTTTGTTTTTTTGTATTAAGATATTTGCACTAGAAACAGACTAAAAATACATTGTAAGATTTTCTAAATGTTCAGAATAATCGTTTACGTTCCCACACCATGTGACTGTCGGATCTTCCCCAGAGCGCAGATGCGAGCTCCAAGCAGAAAAGTGAAGCCATCGCTCGGCTGGAGGAGAAAATCGGCCAGATGTCTGGCACCGTGAAGCAGCTGGAGAACAGGTGAGAACACCTGGACGTTTACCACAGGATGTGTTCCTCCTCTGAATCTTTCACCTACTCAAACCTCTCGCTTCCTTCTCTCTCCATTTACATTTTATTCTTTTTTTTTATCCATTTCTTCCTCCCTTCACTTCCTAACTCAGCGATAAAGATTTGGTGAAGCAGGCCAGAATCCTGAGCGCCGCAGCAGGGAAGCTGCTGCAGCAGCAGTAGCAGCTCTCTCAGAAACATGCGTCCAAACATGCAACCCTGCCTAATATAGACATAACCAAACTAGGATGTTACCTTTTCTGTACGACGCTCATTTGTTGTTGATGATTTAAACCCCCACATCGTCCCTGCAGTGGCTCTCTGGCTTTCATTATAGCGCCCCCAGCAGACGTGTTTGCAGCGTCCGACTTCTTCACAGCTCTGCGTTAACCGTTTAGTTTTTGGCAAGTGAACGCCGTCGTGTTTCAAAGAGCTGATGGACTGATGGAGGTTGAGTGTCAGCAGACTGGGATATTTGCTTGGTTGTAGTTTATTCCAAAGAACTCGAGTGTTCTTGGATTTTTATTTTTTCTTCTTCTTTTTGGCAGAAACAGGGAGAAACTGATGTTTTTCTGATATCTGACAGGTTTTGCTTTCATTCAGTGAGCTGCATGCAAGGGTCAAGGGTCAACATGACATTAGAAAAAGAGCAAAATGAATTAATTTTGAACTGTGTGTGAACATAACATTGCTGTAAACTGTAGTAACCACTAGGGAAATAAAAGATTGAACAAAACGCAGCCTGCTTCTTCCTCTCTGTTTTCAGGCTTTAGTTCTCCTCTTCCTGTCTCTCTCTGTTTCATTTTAACCTTTAGTTGCATCTCCTCTTCTTTTTTGTTTTGCCATGAGTTTGTTTTAACCCGATCACCCCACATTCAGATGCAAACAGGCCGAGAGGGAACGGGATCTGGCCTTAAAGGCCAACCGGCTCTTCAAGCAGGACTTTGGAGACAAAATTGAGGGTCTGCAGGCGGAGGTGGAGCAGCTGCGCAGACAAAGGTGAATATGAAAGGTTTATTAAAAAAAATGTTTTTAAAAGTTCTTTACGTTCTGAAATGGTCTAAATAAATCACAAAGAGTCCAGAGCTTTTCACTAAATTTGTGTGAAGTGTTCTGGTCCAAGCATTGAGCCCTGAGGAACCCCACGACCAACAGCAATACAGAAACACGAATCAGTCGGAATTCTGAGATTAGTCAATTTTGTGATTACAGCAAAAGTTTTTAGATTAAAGCCAGAATTTTCAGATTAACATCAGAATTCTGAGATTAAAATCAGAACTTGGATATTAAAGCCAGAATTTTGAGATGAGTTAGAATTTTGTTTTTAATCTCATAGTTTTGAGATTGAAAAGCATTTTTTGAAATTAAAGCCAGAATAAAAAAAAAAAAGTCAGAATTTTGAGATTAAAACCAGATTTATTTTCCATCCCTCTGGCTGTAATCCTCTCCCACACAAGCTGCTCACTTAAAGATCCACAAATCAAATTCTCAATTACCATCAATGCTAAGCCAGGCAAACGGTTGTTTTTGGGGGGTTTTTGTCTGTATTTAGATTCAGTTTTCTGTTTCAGATTTGGTCTGGAGCAGGAGCTGAGGAGAGAACGAGAGCAGAAGCAAAACCTGAGCGCTGCATCCAGAGCTTCTGCTCCGAGGAAGATCAAGCATCCAGAGAGTCCTCCAAAGGTGAGTCCAAAACGTCAACAGTCCCACCAGGAGATGACAGAAATCTTACGTTTCTCCTTCCGCAACAGCATCTTTCACAATCTACACCAACCAAGTCGGCCCAGCCACTGGGAGAACTGGAAGAGAAAACCAGTCTGAGCTCCAGTCTGTGAGTCCACAGATCTACACTCTGTTTTTAATATTAAAAAATATTAAATCACTTTTTCTGACTTATGTCTCTTTTTCAAGATCATTGTCACATACTGAGGATGAGCAGGTGAGGCTTTCATGAGATCTATGGAGGAATTAGGATTAGGGCTACTGAAAAAAATAACTATTCTGGATTTAATCCTGGAATTCTGAAATTAAAATGAGATTTGTGATTTAATATGCAGAATTAATTTAAACGGAAACCTTTCTGTTTGGTGTTGCTTCAGGAAGAGACGCTCCCTGAGGGCCCCCAGCCTTACGTTTGCACCCTGTGTAAACAGGACGACTCCCTCTTGAGGACAAAGGTACAAACTGCAGGAGACCATCCAGGACAAAAAACAGAAATCAGCTAAAATCCCTGCATGTTACTGAAAGTAGTTTAAAGACTGCAAATAAGAAGTGAGAAAAAATACATCTTCCAGTTCGTATTTAGCAGCTACAATGTTAATCAATCTTTTTTATTTTAACATATTTTTCAAGCTAAATGTGGCTGCTTTTTTTCCTTTCTCTCCTAGAAACAATGCAAGAACTGCTTAAACTTTTTCTGCGAGAGCTGCGTCTCTCATGAGCTGCCGCTGCCTTCCTCCATCCTGCCGGAGACGGTGTGCACGTCCTGCTACTCGCAGTTACTGCAGCAGTACGCGTCGGCGCCAACATGAGCTCGCAGAACAACCAGAGGCATTAAGACCCAAAAACCGGCACTCCAGGAAGCACTTTCCCCTCAAAAAATCATAAAGATCCTCTTTGGGGTGTTTTTTTTTAATATTCAAATGTTTGTCATGCAGGTTTTCAACCAGTAACACCTTTATATGGTGCTACTGGTCACTTCCGCTTCACCTTAAGGGAAAATCGGCTGCAGCTTAGCTGATAAAGGCACCAAACTGGATTTAAAACACATTTATATAATCTCTCTCGTTGTTTCTTAAAATAAAAATATCCACTGAATGGGATATTGCTGCGTATTTCAACAGATATTTATGTTTTTAATGAATAAAAATGGAGAAACTGTTATGTTATGCTTGTATTTTGAGCTTCTGCTTTGCTTTTTGTAGTGTTGATAGCAGATCACAGTTTCACAGTTTTGGTCTCTGGATCAGATTTCCGCTGGTGCCAAGTGGGGATCATCCGTTATGAGAACTGAAACAAATTTGTCCTGAAGTGTTTATTTTAAATGAGAAAAAAGTGGCCACATACTTCTCATTTCTCCTTATTTTGAGAAATTGCATTAACCTTAGGGTTTGAAAACATAAATACAGAAAAACATGTCAACCATGAGCTTATGTTGCTAACCGAAGCAGGGTTAAGTTAGGTGGGAGATCTGAGTTTATGGTTATAAACATCACCTTTTTTATCATTTATTCCTAATTAGCTTTTTTTCAGCTGTCACCAAACCAAAGTGCATCGACAATCTGCAACTGGAGTGAATATGTTAGGTGGAGCAACCTAAACGAGCCAGCATGAATTTTGCGTTTGGTTTATTTTATTATTGCAAATGTACATGTGAGCTGAAGCTGCTTTTAAGATAAATAAAAAACTGACATCCACTTATTACTGCACTGTTTCATTATTTTTCATCTTGTACAACAAAGTGAAACCCATGAAATCCAGTTCACTTCATTAAACATTTGTGGAGAGTGTCCAAATTACAACAACTTATAAAATAATTGAAAGTTGAAAATAATTGTTCTGATCTCATTTCAAAATCAACGGGTAATTATTTTATGATTTAATTTCCTGTCCTGAAGTACATCATGAATTGATGGGTGAAGTTGACAGCACAGCAGCATGAAATATTTTAGTAAATAATATAGAAAATTTTAAATCATCAATAGTACTATTCAAATCCACTTTCAACATTTTTATGTCACTACTATTTGTAAATGTTTCCCAATCTGCAGACCTAAAACACCATTTCTTTATCCCTTTTAGACAATACATCTTATTTGAGTCCCTGCAGGATAATGATCCCTTCCTATAGTTGTTTTATTGATTACTTGCCATAACAAAATACCTGCTGTAGAATTTGAAAATAATGTTAAATCAATTGCCGAATTAATCTCTAAAATTAATTCTGGTTCCACTTCCATCATTTAGACATACCAAATTTCTTTACATCCATTATTTCTTCTATTATATCTCTACTTTGATCATTATGATGAGTCCATAATGAGTCATCATAATCCTAAAGATGACTTTATCATCCTAATGATGACTGATAGCATTTCGGAAGCTATAATAATTACATATGAAGTTCTATGTACTAAATGGTATGCCTTTATTTTGAAATTATAAACCGGATGCAGATAGTTAGCTAGAGTTCACTTGACCATCAAAGCGCCCTTGACTGCCATAGACCCACGTGACCTTTCGCTCATGGGAAGCTAACAGCTAGCTAGCTAGTCCAGGTGGTTGGGGAGAACCGGGGGCAGAGAATCTGTCAGAAAGTCGTTTAGTTTACTTGTTAAGCATCTGCTGCGTCGGGACAAGATGTCCGCCAACTGTAAGTCTCTCCTGTCTCTATTCCAGCGGTGTGTCGCAGTTAGACAGCTGCCTGTAAGGGCAGCCGTCAAAAGAAGAAGCAGCGTGCTGTCCGGAATCTGGCGGAGCCACATTCAGAAGCGAGCATGGGTTTCTGACAGAACCACGGTCCGACACCTCCAGCCCGGCCTGACGATCATCCAGCACCGGTTCTGCACCAAGGTCAGGCCCCTAATTCCTCCTGGAAACATTCGGAGTCGCTCTGTGGAGTCAGTTTCACTCTGAAAATAAAGATAATTTGTCTGCAAAGCATCATAAACCAGCTCTGGGTTTTGTATTTAAATTGATAATATCTTAGCATCTGATTGCTTTTTAGGTGTGCTGAGTGGCGATGCGAATCGTTCAGTTTCCAGCGATTCGATTCCGAGTTTTAGGTTAATGATTTGATTCACAAATTGTTTTTAATTCAGAAACCTATTTAATCTACACATTCTGTGTAAATTATGTGACTGACGAGAGCAAAAGGCAATGTAAACAAATGCATAGGTCCAAAAAGTTTGAACCAGAAGGGATTCGTGCCGCTGAACCGCCATCTTGGTAGGCAAGTGGTACGCAACGCATAGATGAGCCATAGGTTCCAGACCAACAAAAACAAAGTATATTGACACAATGTGCAAGAGAAGGGTATATAAACATAATCGTTGATGTTGGGATCAACCCTTATGAGACAGAGAATGTGTCTTGATTATTGCTGTCATAGTAACAGTGATTTGTGCAGCAAGGATGCAGCAGCTGCTTCTGCAGTTAGATTTTTCAAAGAGTTTTCAAAATAGTCTCCATATATAAGGGTATCAGTCAGAATAACATTAACAGGTTTGTGTATTCAGTTAAAAGCCTTCATCCTGGCTAACCTCTTCTAAAATGTAGGAGTTTATACTTTTTTTTTGTTTGTTGGTCTTAATGCAACGCGGTCTGAAAAATTGTATTTGTGTCTTTCAGGCTGGGTCGCCATGTGAAGATCAATACCCTCCTCTGCCGGACTACCAGACCAATTCGCAGCCTCAAACCAAAGAAGTTTACCTGGTGCAGGTGAAGGGTCTCCTCTGGACCTGCACGGCGCAGGACCTGCTGCAGTTCTTCTCAGGTAACCAGCTTTAGAAATGGTGAAACTTATTTTATTAATTTCTGCAAATTATTAGAAAGGAGGAATATGGTGGTATTAGATAATATGGTGGTATTATGTATTGAGAAGTGTTGCAATCTGGACTGAAACGATTAATCGTGATTAATAGATTAATTGTTAGCTGGAGTATTCAGACTCAAAAAAAGGCCATTTGCTGAAACACACTCAGAGCAGTAATAAAGACAAAACTAATTTATCTGCTAAATTAGTTAGCAGATAACTAACTTAGCATAACTAATTGTTAAAAACACAGTTTGCATTTAATTAAAAAAAATTATGCCTTTATTTACTTTACATGACATTTAGAATTGCTTATTTCACTTTCTGACCCATTTGAAAGGTTTGTTTCAACTTATTTTAGGTAATCAATTTATTGTTTTTGTCAGTTATTATTTATTTTTACAACAGTGGCTGATATACTCCTAAGTGCACTGACTGAAAAAGGTTGTTTTTACATGTTTGACCAAGAAGATGAAGCTACTAGTGCATTTAAGTGTACTGGTGCAAAGTTAGCAGATAAATTAGTACTTAACTACACTTATGTCTGTGTTTTTGTTTTTTTTAAGTCAATTCAGCTGCTTTTCTGTGTCATCTGATGCTAAGCTTCAGATATTGGTATTGGTATTGGCGGTGAAAAAAGAGGACTGGTGCATCCGTAGTGAAAAAGATGAACTGTGCTTCAGACTGCAGGATCCGTAATGGCGTGAACGGGATCCACCTGACTCTGGACCGACTGGGAAGGCCGTCGGGACGTGCCTTCATCGAGATGGAGCACGAGGAAGACGTCAATAAGGCTCTGGAGAAGCACAGGCAGTACCTCGGTTCACGCTACGTTGAAGGTCGGTTTCTCAGCTCAGGGTCAGAAAACCTGCTAAGCCTGGGGGTCAAAACACTGGCATAGCCCGGTCCACCAACGGCCCATTGTGTTTCCAGTATTTCCAATGCTTAAACGCCAACTATATGGTCTAAAAAGACGCAATGAAATACAATTAAAATAAACAATATGATTGTGTCACTTCAGGTAAATTAGCCGGTGGATCTAAAGAACACTAGTTACATTAAAAAATAAATAAATTTGAAAAAGTGTTACAGAAAATGGACAAGGATAAGTCAGCATATTTGTTTGCTTAACTAAATATTGTTATAAATTTAAGTATTTGTTGTATTAAGTTTTCTTGCGTTTTTCTAGAGCCTCTCGTTTTATTTACCATAGTAAATGTCTACAGGATTTTGATCTGCAGGTTCAATGTAATGATGCAATGATGTGAAAATATCCAATGTTAATCTTGCAGTTCTGGCTGATTATTGATATTCACTGATATTATGGATTTCTCTACCGTTTCTGCTCATTTGGAAAATAAAATACCAGAAACAGATGGCGACAAGACAAAAATAAATCTCAGCTTTATTTATCGAACTGATTCCAATATGTAAAAAAAATGTCTAATATGAGCCGATATCGGTGTTAGAGTCGATATAGAGTTCAAATGGTTGTCTCTGGATGTTATCTGGTTATTCTTTATTACAGCTGAGGGGATCTATTTGATTTAATGCAACAATGTGGATATAAAGTGTATAAACTCCTGATAAAATTGCAGGTTTTTGTGAAGCTAAAATTTCCAATGGTTATAGGTTAATAACTTTTGAGTTGGTGTCTTTAAAAAAATCAAAACAGGAGGAACAGAAACAAAAGTGAAATAATTTCCAAGGAAAACTTTAAAAGTCAAAAGAAAGCATTGAACAGTGGCGTCTTTGCAAAAAGAGGCGCGACAATAATTTTAGATTCTGTTGTAAAATATTGTCTCGCTTTACGGCTGTAAAATGATTAAAAGGGTCTCCATTTTATTTGAAGAAAAATGTGAGTTTCTGTTGCGTTTTCAGTGTATGAGGTGACAAACAGCGACGCTGAGGAGATCCTGCAGAAATCAGCGGAGGCGCAGGGTCAAGACGACGTGGTGCTGCTCAGAGGGCTGCCCTTCTCCTGCAACGAGGACGACGTCGCTCGCTTCTTCTCAGGTGAAAAATGAACCAGAGGATCAACGGGGCTGAAATTCCTCCATCCTGGATTTGTACCGGTTTAGCTAGACTTAGGGTTGACACGATTAATCTAATTATTCGCAATCAGTTGTGATTAATCGTGATTATTTGCAATTAATTGATTATGAAGTAATGATCATCAACCAATTTAGCAATTGATGAAACACTTCCTGGATTATACAGACAGTAAAAAGGCCATTTGCTGAAAAAACAGCATTCTCAGAGAGGTAATTAATCCCAAAAATATAAATATTTTGCATTTGAAATTAAAAAAAAAACCTTCGTCTGTGATCATGTTTTACCCCGACTCTTCAAAGAGGATAGTTTGAGTTTCAAGTCGTTCAAATTTTGTAAAAGTAAAAATAAAAATATGCGTTGTGCGTGAGACGATTTTGACATTTGTTTTCTTATTTCGTCGACGCAGGTTTCAATATAGCTGAGAACGGGATCACCATGATTACCAACTCCAGGGGGCGAAACTCTGGAAAAGCGTACGTTCAGTTTTCCTCTCAGGAGGAAGCCAAGAGGGCTCTGGAGAAGGACAGAGAGCTTATTGGACACAGGTAAGGCTCTGCAGCTGCCGGTCCGGTTACTGTTACTGGTCCAGTTACTGGTCTGGTTACTGGTCCAGTTACTGGTCCGGTTACTGGTCCGGTTACTGGTCCGGTTACTGGTCCGGTTTTTGTCGTGTCAGTATTCCTCTTGCCGACAGAAAGATGTAAAAGTGTCGGTTTTATTGCGACTGTTTTTGCAGATACATCGAGGTGTTTCCCAGCAGCAGGGAAGACGTCCAGTCCACCTTCAGCAAAATCAAGACGATTCCAAATCCGCCCCAGTATGCGAACT